CATCCCTTACTCTGCTGAGAGTAAATCTCCAGTTTTCTGCTGGGGTTGGAGAGGTCTAAGTGCTCTTATACAGGTTTTCACAGTCCTGTTCTCTGCTGCGTTGCCGCCCCTACTTCCCTACTTTTAGAGGTACTGCTGCTTAAATACTTCTTAAGACTTTGTTTTGTTTTGTTTTTTTCCCTTGTTTTAGAAAAAGGAGGAAGGGGGTCCTCTTAAGCCTTTCCAGATTCTACGTTGCAAAAGCTTCTCTGGCTTTCTTCTGTTGCAAGGCACTTAGTTTTAAACTTGTAATTTTTGTTTGTCTGTTTTTGTTGTTGTTTTGGCTTGTTAGTTATCACTAGCTTCAAAATATTGTTTACATTTGTTTGTATTTGGTTCCTTTCTTGGTCTATTTGACCTCTTGAGAGGATACCTTTTTGTTTCTTTCCTGTCTTTTTAGTGGATTTTTTTAGAGGGAGCTTTTAAGTAGAAGACTGTTCCCCAGGTATGTTAAAACTGTCTCTATTCCCAGCCGTTTTGGTCTTGAGCGATACTACTTTTTGGTCAAGTTTTGATAAAGGGCTTGTCTTGATTGTGTTCAGTTCAAGTGCATGCCGTGTGTCTTTTTATAGAGCATGGTTTATAGTGGTATTTTTGGGGACAGTGTTGTGATGCACTACATGGCAAATGTTTGGAGTAAATGGTTGATATTTTTTATTTTTATTTATTTTTGAGACAGAGTCTTGCTGTGTTGCCCAGGCTGGAGTGCAGTGGCGTGATCCCAGCTCACTGCAACCCCTGCCTCCTAGGTTCAGGTGATTCTCCTGCCTCAGCCTCCCAAGTACCTGGGATTACAGGTGCCTACCACCACGCCTAGCTGATTTTTATATTTTTAGTAGAGATGGGGTTTCACCATGTTGACCAGGCTGGTTTCGAATTCCCGACCTCAGGTAATCCACCTGCCTTGGCCTCCCAAAGTACTGGGATTACAGGCATGAGCCACTGTGCCCTGCCTGGTTTGTGTTTTTAAATTATGCACGATAATCTTTGAATCTGCCAGCCAAAGAAAAACAGGTATTAGGTTTTGTGAGTTTTTTGGTTAGATTGTTAGAGTATTGTATGCATGGAGCCAAAGCAATGGTTTTATTTTCTTTGTGAGATAGTTTATTCCTTTGTCATGGCCATATCCTGGCTGCTACTAATCACCAGAACTAGGTGGGACATCATGACTGGATCCACGCAGGTATATCATGACTAAGGGAAATTCAGCTTGAAACGCTTTGAATACAAAGCAGATTATGATGTCAGAGTTATTATTGTATGGGATAGTAAAGATAAGAGGGCTCCTGTTGCCTCCCTGAGTTCCTTTACTTCTCCTCCCTGCTGGTTCACTTTGCTTTAGCCACACGGCCTTCCTTATTCTCAAATGCTCCAGGCATGCTTCTGACTTGGAGCCTTTGCTTTGTCTGTTCCCTTTATATCTGCTAGTTAACTGCTTCACTCCCTTCAAGTCTTTGCTTAGATTTCACCTTTATAATGAGGCTTTTTGCGATCGTTTAATACTTCAGATTATCCTTACTGTGTTACCTGGAGGCCACTTGACTGCTTTCTAAATTTTTTCTACAATATTTATCACTTCACAATTTATATATTATGTTCATTGTTTTTTGTCTGTCTTCCTTCACTAGAATGTAAGCTCCATGAGGACAAAGATCTTTGTTTTATTCGTAAATGTATCCCCGGTACCTAGAATAGTAGCGGGCAGTAGGGAAGCCCTGGAAAGATACCTGTTGAATGAAAGACACTCTGATCCATCCAGTTGCTTCCAGACAGCCCTCTATTTAAACCACTTTCGTTGTGTCTTTCTCTTTACTACCAACTTTGAAAAATAATTTTTTTGTGTGTGTAATTTTCCCCTGGTTGATTCTTTTAACAGAGGGGGCTTCTTTAAGGGTGATAAGAGAAGCTGAAGAACTAGAGATGTGTTCAACTCTTGTGTATATGAATTTGTGTTTCTACCAAGCTTTCAGATAATTCGCTAGAGGAAATTTTTACTTTGGCCATAGGTTCATCTTTGTTTATAATAACATCATAAAGCATAAGAGTGGAAAACATTTCCTTCACTTATTTTTAGTATGTGTACCCTCTCCCTCCATTTGTCCACACTCATAGACATTTATAATATAGCAACATTGGTATAGTATTTTATCCTGGTGCTTTTCATATTTTATTTCATTTGTCCTCACAGTAATCTCATAACGAGGTGTAGGCACTGTTGTTACTATTTTGATGATGGTGAGGAAATTGAATTGCAAATTATGTGACTTTGCCAAGGTCATATAACTGTGTTTGTTGTTTGTTTGTTTTTTTCTTGAGACAGAGTCTGACTCTTGCCCAGGCTGGAGTTCAGTGGTGCAATCTGGCTGACTGCAGCCTCCCCTTCCCTGGTTCAAGCGATTCTCCTTCCCCAGCCTCTATAGTAGCTGGGATAGGTGTGCGCCACCATGCTTGGCTAATTTTTGGTATTTTTAGTTGAGACGGAATTTCACCATGTTGGCCAGGCTGATCTTGAACTGCTGACCTCAGGTGATCTGCCTGCCTCGGCCTCCCAAAGTTCTGGGATTACAGACGTGAGCCACCAGGCCTGGCCAAGGTCATGTAACTATTAAGTGACAGAACTGGAATTTGAATACTGGCAGTCAACTCCAGAGTCGTCTTTTCGTCTTTTTTTTTTAATTGTATATATAGCATCAGCATTTAAAAATACAGAGTTCAGTGGCATTAAGTACATTTACAGCGTTGTACACTTATCACCACTGTGTAGTTCCAGGACCTCCTCCCTTCCACCACTCCTGGCAACTTCTGTTAAGCTTTCTGTCTCTATGAATTTGCTTACTCTATGTAGCTTATGTAAGTGGAATTTTATAGTAGTCATCATTTTGTGTCTGGCTTATTTTACTTATATTTTCAAAATTCTTTCTTGTTTGGGATGTATCAGAATTTTCTTTTTAAGGCAGAATAATATTCCATTGTATGTTTATTGTTCTACATTTCATTTATTTATTTATCTGTTGATAAACTTGGGTTGGTTCCGTTTTGACTCTCAAGAATGTTGCTGCTGTGAGCATTGGTGTGCAAGAATCTGTTTGAGTCCCTCCTTTCAGTTCTTTGAGTATATACCTAGAAGTGAAATTGCAGGATCATATGGTAATTTTATGTGTCACTTTTAACTTTTTTTTTTTTTTTGAGACAGGGTCACTTGAGACAGGGTCAGCCAGGCCAGAGTGCTGTGGTGTGATCATGGCTCACTGCAGCCTCGATCTTGATCTCCTGGGCTCAACTGATGCTCATGCCTTGGCCTGCCAGGTAGCTGGGAACTACAGGTACACCACCTGCCCGGTTAATTTTTTTTTTTTTTTTTCCTGAGATGGAGTCTCACTCTACTGCCCAGGCTGGAGTGCAGTGGCACAATCTCAGCTCACTGCAACCTTTGCCTCCTGGGTTCAAGTGATTCTTGGGCCTCAGCCTCCTGAGTAGCTGGGATTATAGGCGTGCACCACCACGTCTGGCTAGTTTTTTGTATATTTTTTTTAGAAGAGACAGGATTTCACTATGTTGCCCAGGGTGCTCTTGAACTCCTGAACTCAGGCCGTTTGCCTAGCTCTGCCTCCCAAAGTCCTGGGATCCCTGCCCAACCTGCCCAACTAATTTTTAAATTTTTTGTAGAGATGAGGGCCTCACTATATTGCCCAGCATGGTTTGGAACTCCGGGGCTCAAGCGATCCTCTTGCCTTGGCCTCCCAAAGTGTTAGAATTACAGATGTGAGCCACTGTGCCTGGCTTTAACTTTTTTTATGTAGTAAGATACAGTAGTATATACTAAATCAAATAGGAGAAACTGAGTTCGAACACTGTGTCACAGTCCCCTTTATTCTCAGTGAAATTGAAAACTGCCTGTACAATCGTGTCACTTAATGATAGGGATATATTCTGAAAAACATGGGGATTTCATTATTGTGCAAACATCCTAGAATGTATTTATACAAACCCAGATGGTATGGCCTACTGCACACCTAGGCTTTGTGGCATAGCCTGTTGCTTCTAGACTACAAAAGTGTCCAGCGTGTTACTGTACTGAATACTGTAGGCAGTGTAACACAATGGTAAGTATTTGTGTATGTATCTAAACACAAAGGTTCAGTAAGAACATGGTATAATCTTATGGGAGCATTGTCATATATGCGGCCTGTCTTTGACCAAAATGTTATGCGGTGCATGACTATATTTTAGAGCCTAAGAGATGTATAATAACAACTCCTGGATGTTAAGCAGCTTTGAAATACGTATTCTGTAGAGTGCCTGGCTTGATGTGACCATTCAGCCAAGTTAGCCAATTTATCTCGTTTTCTACCTCAATATATTCTGTACCCCATATCAGTAAATCTACTGCAAGGTAATCTTTCCTCAGTGTTTCTTTATAATCTTCCATGTAAAACTCTTGTCCTTTTGAAAAATTATAGCCTGTTTTTCAAAACTGTCCTCTGTATTCATGGTTTGATTGATGTTTTTGTTAAGTTCTGTAAGTTACTTGGTTATTTCTAATTTCAGGATTTATGTTTATTTTGTATTATATAACATATTTATTTTCATGTCAATTTTTTATGTTTTTATTCTTATTTCATATTGTGAGTTCCTTAAGTAGATAGTCTGTCTATACATGTGTTTAGTTTTCTCACAGTACATACTGTACAGAGTATTCATTAAATATTTTTGAATGCTTGGTTTGAAGGTAGGCATAATGTTAATTACATTTTAAACCTCTGAAAAGCATTGTTTCTATTTCTTACTCCAAATGTTGACAGGTGTCAGTTTGCTTAGATATTCATTGTGCTTAGATACTCATTGAAAGGAAATTTGAAATTTAAGCCTTGATTAATTATTCTATTTAGTAGGCAAGACTTAAGAGTCAGGATGCTTGAATCTACGTTTTTTTCTCTAAGCAACTTTTACTTTCTTTTCAGATTGTTGCCAGCAAAGGAGGTTTTGAAATGGTCACCAAAGAGAAGAAATGGTCTAAAGTGGGTAGTCGCTTGGGGTATCTGCCAGGAAAAGGAACTGGGTCTCTTTTGAAGTCACATTATGAAAGAATTCTCTACCCGTATGAGCTTTTCCAGTCTGGCGTGAGCCTTATGGTGAGATGCATTATTCTTTTTAGAAAAAGTTGATAAATCCAGTTTGCCCAAGTATAAACTTTAGACTTTGTTTAACCCAACTTAGCAGGCACTAAAATTTGGGGAAGCAAAGTGTTTATCATAGTGCAAAAATCATAGCTATTTTTGATGGTTCACAAGATAATAATGGAAATGAAGAATGTTTTATTTATTTAAAATAAACCTGATGACTGATATTTTTTGAAAAACTCCTGTTTCATGAATTTTTTAAAAACAGCTTTATTAGGTATAATTTATATACCATAGAATTCACCCTTTGTGGGTGCATAGTCGGTAAGCTTTAATAAATTTCTACATTTATGCAACGATGACTGGGATCCAGTTTTAGAGCACTTCCACTAGCCTCCAAAATTCTCTTGTTCATTTGTAGTTGGTTCCTGTTCCACCCCCACACACAGGCAATTCCTGACCTGCTTTCTGGCTCTATAGTTTGCCTTTTCTAGAACTTTCACCTAGGTGTAATCATACAATATGATTTTATGTCTAGCTTTTTTCACTTAGCCTAATGTTTTGAAAGTTCAGCCATGTTGGCTGAATGCGGTGGCTAATGCCTGTAATCCTAGCACTGTGGGAGGCTGAGGTGGGTGGATCGTTTGAGGCCAGGAGTTTGAGACCAGCCTGGGCATCATGGCAAAACCCCATCTCTACTGAAAATACAAAAAATCAGCCAGATGTGGTGGTATGCGCCTGTGGTCCCAGCTACTCCAGAGACTGAAGTAGGAGGATTGCTTCAGCCTGGGAAATGGAGGTTGCGGTAAGCTGAGATAGTGCTACTGCACTCCAGCCTGGGTGACAGAGTGAGACCCTGTCTCAGAAAAAAAAAGTTCAGCCATGTTATAGCATATGTCTGTACTAAATTTTTATGGCTGAATAATAATCCATTGTATGGATATACCACATTTTGTTTATCCATTTACCAGTTGATGGACATTTAGATTGGTTCCAGTTTATGACTACTAGTTTATGATACTATGAATATTCATATACAAGTCTTTAAGTTGACATATGTTTTCATTTTTCTTGGGTAGATACTTGGGAGTGGAATTGCTGGGTTTTATGGTAAGTTTATGTGTAAATTTTTTTTTTTTTTTTGCGATGGAATCTCGCTCTGTCGCTCAGGCTGGAGTGCAGTGGCATGAACTTGGCTCACTGCAACCTCCGCCTCCTGGGTTCAAGCGATTCTCCTACCCCAGCCTCCTGAGTAGAGTAGCTGGGACTACAGGTGCACGCCACCACCCACAGCTAATTTTTGTACTTTTAGTAGAGACAGAGTTTCACCATGTTGGCCAGGCTGATCTCTAACTCCTGACTGCAAGTGATCTGCCCGCCTTGGCCTCCCAAAATGCTGAGATTATAGGTGTGAGCCACCGCGCCTGGCCCGTGTAAGTTTTTCAGAACTGCCACGTTGTTTCCCAAAGTGGCTGAATCTTTTTACTTTCCCAGCAGTGATGTCGAGGCTTCTGGTTTTCCCACATCCTGGCCACACTTGGTATTGTCAGGTTTTAAAATTATAGCCGTTCTAGTTAGTTGTGTAGTCATGTCTTACTGTGGTTTGAATTTGCATTTCTCTAATGACTAGTGATGTGCCTATTTTCATATTCATATTAGCCGTTTGTATATCTTGGTAAAGTGTTCAGATCTTTTTAAAATTGGGTTGTCTTATACTTGTGAGTTTGTTATACAGTTTGTGTACAAGTCCTTTATCAGGTAAATAATTTGCAGATATTTTCTCCTACTCTGTTATCTTTTCATTTTTGTAATGGTGACTTTTTGAAGAACCATTTATTTTTTTATTTTTTCCTTCTGTAGATTGTACTTTTGGTGTCATATTTAAGGAATCTTTTCCAAGGTCACAGAGATTTTCTTCTTTGCTTTAATCTAGAAATTTTTACAGTTTTGGCTTTTATATTTTGGTCAGTGATGCATTTTGAGGCTTTTTTTGTGTGTATAGTATGAGGTGAAGATGTAAGTTTATTTTTTGATGGGGAAGGGGGTATGTGAATATTGAGTAGTACCAGCACCATTTGTTTAAAAGGCTGTCCTTTTCCCACTGATTTAACTCACCATCTTTGTTGGAAGTCAGTTGACCATAAATGTGTGGGTTTATTTCTGGACTCTGTTTTTCTTACATTGATTTATATATCGACCCTAAAACCAGTACTACATTGTCTTGAGTACTATAGCTTTATGGTAAATGTTGATATTCAGTAGTGTTAAGTTTTTTTGTTCTTTTTCAAAATTTCTAAACAACTTACATTTCCACATAAGTTTTAGGGTCAGCTTTCGGTTTTAACAACAACAAAAAGCCTGCCAGAATTTTGATAGGGATAGCTGTATGTCAGCTTGAGAGATAATTGTGATCCAGTTTTATGTAGTTTTAGGGATTCATTGGCAATTTATTATTTTCCCGCTGATTCTCCAGCATGATTTCTTATCAGTGAACCTGTTCTCTTTCTGTGCTCTGCTCTTTTAGGGTGTGCAGATGCCTAATTTAGATCTTAAAGAAAAAGTGGAGCCTGAGGTTCTCATCACTGATACCCAAACTTCCCCAGAGCCAGGCACAAGAATGAACACTCTGCCGAAGAGAACAAGACGTGTGAAGTCTCAGGTATCGATGTCTATGGGCTTTTCTTCCTTTTTTCTTTAAATAGGCAGTCTCGTGATGTTGCCCACGCTAGCCTTGAACTCTGGCTCGAGTGATCCTCTTGCCTCAGCCTCTTGAGCAGTGCTACTTGGTGTGCGCTGCTGTGCCTGGCTTATGGGCCATTTTTAATGGGAGTTTTAAGTGCATTAACTGTGTGGAACAGTTACCTGGTCATGGGAGGCCACTCGTATACTGTCGTTCTTTAAAACTTGAGCCATATTTTTATTTACTTTTGAGATGAATGGAGAATAAATTGTGAAATGTGGTGTAATTTGATTTAGAAAGTTCTTTGTTAATTTTTAGCGGTTTTTGACAGGGATGACAGTCAGAGGGTGATCCTGGATACCGTAGTACCAATTTTATAGACATGCGGATGAATTCTAATACATTTTATTTTTATGTTAGCGGAAGTGAGATGAATAGGAAAGTGTGGTTTTATTTTTCACCCACCATTCCTTTAAGAACCAGAGTATAAATTTCTTAGTGTCCGAGCCATTCCAGTTTAACTACTGTAGTGTTCATGTAACCTAAAATAATTTCAAAGCCTAATACATCAGACGAAAAATGCCCTAATTTATTTTTTGTCTGATTCCCTCCTTCCCCTATTTCTTTTATTTTTTCTTTTTTTTCCCAAGCTTTGCTTCTCTTTCAAACCCGTTTCCTTTTCTCTGTGGTCTTTTAAGGTTTTTAGTAAAGACAAGTTTGGAGACTGAGAAAGTGAGGTGCCCTTAGAACTCCTTAGATTTAATCCATGTACGTTAACATATAGATGGACAGGAAAAACAACTGCACTGAATCCTAATCATTGATTTTAACTGTGTTTTTTTTTTTTTTTGAGACGGAGTCTCACTCTGTCGCCCAGGCTAGAGTGCAGTGGCGCAATCTCGGCTCACTACAAGCTCTGCCTCCTGGGCCCACGCCATTCTCCTGCCTCAGCCTCCCGAGTAGCTGGGACTACAGGTGCCCGCCACCGTGCTCAGCTAATTTTTTGTGTAGAGACGGGGTTTCACCGTGTTAGCCAGGATGGTCTCGATCTCCTGACCTCGTGATCCGCCCGCCTCGGCCTCCCAAAATGCTGGGATTATAGGCTTGAGCCACCGCGCCCGGCGATTTTAACATTTAAGGAAACAATGTAGTATAGGGGTGGGAATAATTAGCATCAAAAGTGGGTATCAGAGAAGCAGGATAAAACTGCAGTTAACGCCGGGCGCGATGGCTCAAGCCTATAATCCCAGCACTTTGGGAGGCTGAGACGGGCGGATCACGAGGTCAGGAGATCGAGACCATCCTGGCTAACACGGTGAAACCCCGTCTCTACTAAAAAAAATACAAAAAACTAGCCGGGCGAGGTGGCGGGCGCCTGTAGTCCCAGCTACTCGGGAGGCTGAGGCAGGAGAATGGCGGGAACCCGGGAGGCAGAGCTTGTAGTGAGCTGAGATCCGGCCACTGCACTCCAGCCTGGGCGACAGAGCAAGACTCCGTCTCAAAAAAAAAAAAAAAAAAATGGGGACTACATGGAATGTGGTAATTGTCACTGTATTCAGATTCGTTGATATGCTATTTCAGGATTTGAAATTAAGAATTTTTTCAACGCATAATTTGTACTTAATTGTTCTGTTGAATGTCTGCCGTTCATTCCTAGTTTTCTATTTCAGAAAGAAAATAAAGGCTTTCTGGTAGAACTTCTGCTTCTTGCCCCATACGCAAAACTGCTGGTATTCATACTTAGTCTTTGTCTATCTCTGTGGGCAAACTACCTTTCTCTCCAAGGATAATCCCTCCACTTCCATCCCTTCTGGCATCTTCAGTGATTTCAACATACTGAGAAATCTTTCTCTCCCACCTCCTCTGTCTGTTGAATTCCACTCCTCCCATTATGTGTTTAAGTCTCTGTCATCTTCAACATAAAAGCCCTCTTCTTACATAATGCCTTATCCTTGCCTCTTTTCACAGAGAAGTTTCTTGAAAAATAGTCTTTATTGTCTCAGTTTCCTCAACATCTGTTTAGTTTTTATACTCTATAATCTAACTTTGAGCTAAGTAATTTTATTGAAACTGCACTGTCCAAGTTACCACTGGGTTTTTAATTGTCAAATTCTGAGATTCTCATTTTCATTTCATATCTTAATCGGTCTCTGGTCACGTATACATTTAATGTGGTTGTTGACTCCTGTCCTTGAAATTAGATTAACTTGATTTTTCTTTCGTTTGTGATAGCTCTCCTGGTTTTCCTCCTTATATTCTGACCACTCCTTAGCATCTTCGTCATCTCTTCTGTCTTCCCCTGATTTTGTATCTTTAGTCCTTTTCCATCTTCACTCTCCTTAGCTGTCTTATCTGCATGGGATTTCAACTACTACCTGTAATGCTCAGAACTCTCAAATCTTGTCTTTTTTTTTTAGACAGAGTCTTGCTTTATCGCCCAGGCTGGAGTGTAGTGGCACGATCTTGGCTCACTGCGACCTCTGCCTCCCGGGTTCAAACAATTCTCCTTCCTCAGCCTCCTGAGTAGCTGGGATTACAGGCACATGCCACTACACCTGGCTCAATTTTTATATTTTTAGTAGAGACAGAGTTTCACCATTTTGTCCAGGCTGGTCTTGAACTGGCCTCAAGTGATCTGCCTGCCTCAGCCTCCCAAAGTGCTGGGATTATAGGCGTGAACCATCGCACCCAGCCCAAATCTGTCTTAACATCCATCCTTTCCTTTTCACCAGGGGTGTGTGCGTACGTATACGTGTGTACTTATGATTGGCTATAGTACAGGTATGCCAAATTCAGTACATCTGAAAGATAATGTAGTATCATCTCTTCCTTCTCTCCTTGTTTCCTCCCTCCCTCCCTTCATCCCTTCCTCCCTTCCTCCTTCCTTCCCACTCCCCCTGGCCTTTTTTTTGAGACAGCGTGTGACTCACTCAGGCTGGAGTGCAGTGGTGCAGTCTTGGGTAATCACAACCTCTGCCTCCTAGGCTAAAGCCATCCTCCCACCTCAGCCTCCCAGGTGGCTGGGACCATAAGTACATACCACCACTCAGCTAATTTTTGTGTGTTTGTAGACACAGGGTTTTGCCATGTTGCCAAGGTTGTTCTCGAATTCCTGGGCTCAAGTGATCTGCCTGCTTTGGCCTCCCAAAGTGCTGGGATTACAGGCATGAACCACGGTGCCCAACCATAAAAGCCTTTGAATGAATCAAATGAATTAAACTCCTTGATTTCTTTATTTCCCTATACTCCATGTCCAGTCTTTAAGCAAGTGCTGGCTGCTATTATGTCTGAAATTTCTACTAGGGATGCTGGTTCATTTATGTGTTTGAAATGGTATTTAGAAACCATGATCTGAGCACACGGTCTGCTTGTTCCCACTGGGATGTCATTGCTTCTAGGCTCTTTTAAATGGTCAGGGCTAGAAAATAAATTTTTAGAAATTTGTAACTTGATATTTTGCATTCATCCTCTAATCCAGCTCTAATCCAGCACCACAGTTCCTTTGTTTTTTCCTGGTGTTTTGAGTTGGGAATTTAATTTTAATCTTTTGTTTTTATTGCAATGTTTAAGACTATAAAATTTCCTGTGATCACTAATTTGTTTTAGAGATCTAATATGTAGTCTTTTTATTGTTATTTTAAAATTTATTATTATTTTTTGAGACGGAGTCTTGCTCTGTCGCCCAGGCTGGAGTGCAGTGGCGTGATCTCAGCTTACTGCAGCCTCCACCTCCTGGGTTCAAGCAGTTCCCTGCCTCAGCCTCACGAGTAGCTGGAATTGCAGGTGCCTGCCACCACGTGCAGCTAATTTTTGTAATTTTAGTAGAGACGAGGTTTCACCGTATTATCCAGGCTGGTCTTGAATTCCAGACCTCGTGATCCACCTGCCTTGGCCTCCAAAGTGCTGGGATATACAGATGTGAGCCGTCGTGCCTGGCCTATTATTTTTTAAGTAGAGAATTAAAATGTTCAGGTGGAAGGTCCTTTTTAATTTTGTTATTTTGAGTTTTAGATCAAAGAATGTTGTTTTATTCTACTTTTTGGAACTTTATTGCTTTTCTGAAAAGGTTGTTGTAAGGACTAATTGATTAAAGTACTTAGATGTGGCACATACTATTTACTGAACATGTATCAGCTTTATTGTTATGTACTCTGCTTTATAATGGTAAAGAATGTGTGGTGTTATATTTCTCGTTCGACTAACAGTAGAAGTTGGTTAATATAACCAAATCAGTCTACAAAAGTTTAAAGATAAATATTGAAATGGCATTTAGGTTTTGTACTTATATGATCTTTTGTTAGTCTAGATTGCATACATCATTTGTTATGTAACCACAGACTTACAAAGTAGTCTGTATTTTATCTTGGTTTATTTTTATGCTTATTCTTTATTTATTATACACTTAAAATAAATTTTGGCTGTTTACTTAGTCTATATTCAGAGATTATGGTTAATCTTAATTCAAGATTGAATACCAGTATCTGTCAGGATGTTCTCACTTTCAAGTATTAGAATGCCAGGTGATAGTAGCTTAAACATTAATAATTAATTTTTCACATAAGAATACATTTTTGCATAAGGTTTTCAGAGGTAAGTAGCTCTAGGATTGGTCAAGGGCCCGGGTTCTTTCCATTTTTCTGCCTTGCTTTCTTCAGTGTGTGGGTAATAAATTTCCTTTCAGTTGTGGTATGGCTGCTGCAGAGTCCAGCACCGTGTTTTCACCAGACTGTGTCCCTTAGCAGGAAGGAAGGGAATTGGGGCAAAAGGACGACTTTTTTTTTTTTTTTTTTTTAGACAGAGTCTCGCTCTGCCGCCCAGGCTGGAGTGCAGTGGCCGAATCTCAGCTCACTGCAAGCTCCGCCTCCCGGGTTCACCCCATTCTCCTGCCTTTTTGAGACAGAGTCTTACTCTCGCCCAGGCTGGAGTGCAGTGGCTCAATCTCAGCTCACTGCAACGTCCACCTCCTGGGTTCAAGCAATTCTGCCTCAGCCTCCCGAGTAGCTGGGACTGTAGGCGTGCACCACCATGCTCAGCTAATTTTTGTATTTTTAGTAGAGGTGGGGTTTTACCATATTGGGCGGGCTGGTTTCGAACTCCTGGCCTCGTGATCCACCCGCCTCAGCCTCCCAAAGTGCTGGGATTACAGGCGTGAGCCACTGCACCCGGCCTCCAAAAGGACTTATTCTTTAAGATGCTTTCCTTTTTATTTTTTTGACACAGAGTCTTTTTCTGTCACCCAGGCTGAAGTGTGGTAGGACAATCACGGCTCGCTGCAGCCTTGAACTCCAGGGCTTCACGTGATCCTCCTGCCTCAGTCTCCTGGGTAGCTAGGACTTCAGGTGCGTGCCACCATGGGCAGATAATTTTTAATTTTTTTTTTTTTTTGGTAGAGACAGGGGTCACTATGTTGCCCAGGCTGGGAGAAGCTTTCCCATTGATTGATTCAGGGTCTTATCTATCGCCCAGGGTGGAGTTCAGCAGCATGATCTCACCTCACTGCCTCAACCGCTCAAACTCAAGTGATCCTCCAACCTCAGCCTCCCAAGTAGCTGGGACTACAGATGCACACCAGCTTGCCTGGCTAATTTTTGTACTTTTTGTCGAAATGGGGTTTCCCTGTGTTGCCCAGGCTGGTCTGTAACTACTGAACTCAAATGATCCATCTGCCTTGGCCTCCCAATGTGTTGGGATTACAGGTGTGAACCACTGTGCCTGGCCATTTGCCTTTTATTAGAAGATGGCAATCTTTCCCAGGGGATTCCAGTACAATTTTTTTAATGTTCCACTGGCTAGAACTGGATCACATTCCCACCCCTTTGTTGGTCATCACCAACAAAGAAAAATGAGGTTAGTATGATTGGCTTAGGACAGTCACAGTTCATGTCCTGAGATGCCCTCTAATCAAATACAGGTGTCCAGTAGCAAGTTAGAAGTGGGGATTTCTGTGGTGTGATAACCGGCAGTGTCTGTCTTTAGACAGCTTGACAACTGTGCTTTTATGAGTCATACACGAATTTTATTTTGTGGAAAGGAATCTGGGTGCATGGTGTTTTGGTGACTGTTTTCAACTGTAGTAATGAGGCAGCGAAGTAGATTTACAGAAAAGAAATCCAGTAATTTGTTCTTTCGTTTTGAAGAGGATCCTGAAACTTTTCTGGGGTAAAAAAATAAATGCATGAATCAGCATAATTATGCTTACGTGAATTTTGCTTATTTTTTAGTCAGAATCTGGAGATGTGAATAGAAACACGGAATTGAAGAAACTTCAGATTTTTGGGGCTGGGCCCAAGGTTGTGGGCCTGGCAATGGGAACAAAAGATAAAGAAGGTAAGATTTGTTATTTGATCATGAAAAGAGATAAGGTAGAATATGGTTGTAAAAACATTCAAATGATACTTGAATTGCAGTCTGTGCTGGGAATTTCGTAAGAATTGTAAAGTTGCAATGTGGTTCCCAGGTACATCGCCTGTTTTAATGCCAGATATCTTAAGTTTAAGGTGTGAAGAGCAATCTTATGTTGAATTTTTATGATTTTGGAGGAGAGGATTTTCCTTCTCTATGTCTAATATATGACACAAATTTATTGCAGTTTATAAGGCTGGTTTATGAGAGAATGGTGGAATTAATGGTTCTTACCTAGTGAGCTAAAGCTTGTGACTCTTAGTATCAACATATGCTGGGGGAAACTTAGAATTTTAAAATTCTAACCATAATTTTGATTTTAAAAATAATTGTCCTTGATATATTATGTCACTTCATTTAAATAAACTGTTTTCTTTAGTAAGTCTAGTGCTCGGCTTCACGTTTGGAGGTTTTTTGTCAGTAGAACTGCTCGTGCAAAGATCAGGGTCCACTGTTCTCTTTATGCAACATGTCAATTTTAAAACCGTTTAACAAAGATTAGGCCGGATATGTTTTGACTATGTCAGAGCTTAATGAAATGCTACAGTCACAAATACTAATTACTATGTACTTAGATGTGTAGTTAAATCATACAATTCAGATAGTGGACTGAACTCTAGAAGATTAAATAATATTGTTCCATCTCTCTTAAAACATCCCATGTAATAAGACTTACTAGATACATTGTAATAATGATAATATTTCTTTTTGAAGAATTAAGTACTTTATTTTTGTTATTCTTGTAATTATAGTATTGGCTATCAACAGTCTTAGAAATTAGTCCCTAATTTGGGAGTTCCTCCAAGTAATACCTGTGCGTTGTATGTAGTACGTACTGCATACAAATACAGCATTAATGGGTAAGCTCTCTGGATCCTACGTGACTGGATTAGAATCATAAATCTGCCTTGCTGTATGATTTTGAGCAAGTTATTAACTTCGCTGTACCTCAGGTTCTTCATCGTCAGTGAGAGATAATAAATAGTATATCTACCTCTAGATAGATAAACAGTTGTAAGATTTTAACTAATTTAAATAATTTTAAATAGTGTCTCGTCCATAGTAAGCTCTCAACATTAGTTTTTACTATTATTGTATAACTTTTTATTTCAAGATGAGGTCACCCGAAGACGAAAAGTTACCAACAGGTCAGACGCATTTAACATGCAAATGAGACAACGGAAAGGCACTCTCTCTGTTAACTTTGTAAGTGTTTTGGGGTCTGTCAGGAGGGAAAGGATTTATTTTTATTATAGTTTTGCACTTTCTATCCTGGTATATCTTGGTATGTATTTAGTTAGCTCATTTGGTTAGAAGACTTGATGGCAAATCTATGAAGTTACAGCTTTTGTTTATGTTGTTAACCTTGCTTTGTCCTATGTACGTAGGCTGCTTCCTGTAAGTCATATACCTTATGGGTAACCAAGTGAGAGCATGAAAATGAATCTGTGTAATCGTTGAGTTCTATCATAGACAGTCTTGGTCTTCATTCTCTATCAAAGAGTATTCGTATATGGGAAGAAGGACATGGTATTTTAAAAAATATATGTAAATTGATTTTCTTTCTTTTTTTTTTTTTTTTTTTTTTTTTGAGACGGAGTCTCGCTCTGCCGCCCAGGCTGGAGTGCAGTGGCCGGATCTCAGCTCACTGCAAGCTCCGCCTCCCGGGTTTACGCCATTCTCCTGCCTCAGCCTCCTGAGTAGCTGGGACTACAGGCGCCCGCCACCGCGCCCGGCTAGTTTTTTGTATTTTTTAGTAGAGACGGGGTTTCACTGTGTTAGCCAGGATGGTCTCGATCTCCTGACCTCGTGATCCGCCCGTCTCGGCCTCCCAAAGTGCTGGGATTACAGGCTTGAGCCACCGCGCCCGGCGTAAATTGATTTTCAAATACCCTAGATTTGTAGTCTTTCTTTAACAACCTAATATACTTTTATTAACTTGCTTGTAAAAACTCTGGAGGAAAATTTAGGGAGTTTTGTGAAAAGCTGTTTAAATACAATTTCTTGAAATAGACATTCAGGATTTAAGTTATGTTTACTTTTCAGTTGCATTATTTTGTTTGTTTCAGCTAAGGAGTTCCTGGTAAAAATTTAGTATTATGGAAAATAGACTTTTATTTTTATTTTTTTTAACAGGTTGATCTCTATGTTTGTATGTTTTGTGGTCGGGGAAACAATGAAGATAAGTTGCTTTTGTGTGACGGATGTGATGACAGCTATCATACATTTTGTCTAATTCCTCCACTACCTGATGTGCCCAAAGGAGACTGGAGGTGTCCTAAATGTGTCGCTGAGGTACAAGTCTAACCTCTGTGGATCCTTTTTTAACTAAAAACAATAATACATGCATGTACACATACATGTAAACATATTCTCAAATATGTTTCCTTTTGTCATTCTCTCTTCATTATGTGGTGTTTAAAATTTCCGGGACTTTTCTTTTTTTGAGATGGTGTATTGCTTTGTCACCAGGCTGGAATGCAATGGCGTGATCTCAGCTCACTGCAACCTCCACCTCCCGGGTTCAAGCGATTCTCCTGCCTCAGCCTCCCAAGTAGCTGGGACTACAGGCACGAGCCACTACGCCCAGCTAATTTTTGTATTTTTAGTAGAGACCATGGTTTCACCATGTTGGCCAGGATAGTCTCGGTCTCTTGACCTCCTGATCTGCATGCCTCGGCTTCCCAAAGTGCTGGGATTACAGGCATGAGCCACCGTGCCTGGTCAATTTCCAGGACTTAAAATGTCTATATTGAATGGAAATGTAACAATTGTATCGTGGTAGCTTGCCTTTCAAAGGTTCTTTTTCTGACTGTTGGTTAGGTCATTCTGTTTATTGATGCAGATAATGAGACTTTATTATATTGTTGGACAACAATAAAAATGAAGAAAAGCATAGATTGTTTTTTCTCTATTAATTGAAAGTATAACCAGACATGAAACTGTAGAACTTGGGATTTATGCATCCAATTTCATGCTATTAAATAAATTGATGATATCTTTTATTTATTTACTATTTATTTGTTTACTTTTTTGAGACAGGGTCTACAGCCTCTCACCCAGGCTACAGTGCAGTGGCACAATCTCAGCTCACTGCAACTTCTGACGTCTGGGCTCAGGTGATATTCCCAGCTCAGCCTCCCTACAGATGTACGCCACCACGCCCAGCTAATTTTTGTATTTTTTGTAGAGACAAGGTTTTACCATGTTGGCCAGGCTGGTCTAAACTCCTGGACTCAAGTGGTCCACCTGCCTTGACCTTCCAAAGTGCTGGGATTACAGATGCGAGCCACTGTGCTGGGCCCTGATGGTATCTTTTAGCTTGCCCAAATTTTTACTTGATTGTGCTAAATTTTTCTTAGTGAAAGATTGTAGTACTGTCATTGTCGTGAAATGCCCAGTCTGTTTACTTTTTTTAACAAAATGCTGTGATAGGACATTAAAGAGAAGGTGTTGGCTGGGTGTATGTAAATGCATTCAAAGGTCTTTTATGCTGTTTGAATTATTGCTTATTTACTATTCTCAAGGTTAAAAGATTCAGAGGCAATTCTACTCTGAGTGAGTCATTGTGTTAAGACACTGGTCATGGTGATTGGTAGTGTGAGCAAGCTGTTCTCTTAGTCTGATATCCTCACAGTCCAGTGGCTGTCCCCTTATCCAGTACCTTTCCCTCCTCCATGAACATGTATTTTCTCCGTGGCCAAAACCACTGGTGTGCCAAGAGTGTTAGGCATCCCTCGGGATGATTCCGGTTAGTCCTTTAGATGTTTGTCTTGGTGCCAGAACTTAATGCTACTCTGGATCTAAAGCCGTCTTAGTGCCGCCTTCCTGTTGGAAGGCTGTGACGATGACGTCGAGACTCTAGAAAATACTTCCTGATACTGTATTGTAAGGAGCTGATATTTGTTTTGTTGTCTAGGGTTGATTGGATTTGCTTTACCTAGGGAAATGATCAAAGAAGTTAGTAACTAAGAGCCTTAAAGCTTTCTTCAGTTTCGTTTCAGTGAGTGAATCTTATATATTTTTTCTTTCCAGGAATGTAGCAAACCTCGAGAAGCCTTTGGATTTGAACAAGCTGTACGAGAGTATACACTTCAGAGCTTTGGAGAGATGGCAGATAATTTTAAGTCTGATTATTTTAATATGCCAGTCCATGTGAGTAAACTATCTTTTAGGTCAGTCTGGGGAGGTACAAAGATTTACCTGAGTCCAAAGCCTTCAGTTTCCTCTTTTTTTTTTTTGAAACAGAGTCTTACTTTGTCACCCAGGCTGGAGTGCAGTGGCACAATCTCGGCTCACTGCAACCTCTGCCTCCCAGGTTCAAGCGATTCTCGTGCCTCAGCCTCCTGAGTAGCTGGGACTACAGGCACCGCCACCATGCCCAGCTAATTTCTGTATTTTTAGTAGAGACGGGGTTTTACCATATTGACCAGGCTGGTCTCGAACTCCTGACCTTGTGATTTGCCTGCCTCGGCCTCCCAAAGTGCTGGGATTACAGGCATGAGCCACTGTGCCCGGCCTTCTCTTTTACTTTTATTATTTTGTAGAAAACAGGGACTGCATGAAAAAGATGATGAAACACTGCGTCTTAAAATCAGGGGCCTGACATCTATTTCTTTTTCTTTCACTGTCTGTTGTGGCAGTATGTACTCCTTTGTTGTAAAATCTATTTTTTTTTTTTTTTGAGTTGGAGTCTCATTCTGTCACCCAGGCTGGAGTGCAGTGGCGCGATCTTGGTTCACTGCAGCCTCCTACCCCCAGGGCCAAGTGATTCTCCTGCCTCAGCCTACCAAGTTGCTGGGACTACAGGTGTGCACTGCTATACCTGACTAATTTTTGGATTTTTTTTTTTTTTTTAAACAGAGTCTCGCTCTGTTGCCCAGGCTGGAGTGCAGTGGCACCGTCTCTGCTCACTGCAACCTCCACTGCCCGGGTTCAAGCAGTTCTCCTGTCTCAGCCTCCCAAGTAACTGGGACTACAGGTGCACTCAACCACTGCCAGCTGATTTTTGTGTTTTTAGAAGAGATGGGGTTCACCATATTGGTCAGGCTGGTCTCGAACTCCTGACCTCAGGTTATCCACCTGCCTTGGCCTCCCAAAATTCTGGGATTACAGCCATGAGCCACTGCGCCCAGCCAATTTTTGTATTTTTAATAGAGATGGGATTTCACCATGTCACCTAGGCTGGTCTCGATCTCCTGACCTCAAGTGATCTGCCTGCCTCGGCCTCCCAAAGTGCTGGGATTATAGGTATGAGCCACTACGCACCACTGTAAAGTCTATTTTGATGCTCGAATTGTTATATTAGCCCTCTATGAGTAATCCTTTACAGAAAAGCATAAAGTATTGGACAGTTGCTGCTTTTCTTTATTTTTACTGTGGGGTTTGCTTCTTTTCCTAGAATATCTTAGGCTTTTTTAGTCCCTGTCCAAAAAATTTGCTATAGTTATTAAAATTTAGTCTTGCCTTAAAGACTTGAAATCTCAACCCAGATGCCCATCAATGATAGACTAGATAAAGAAAATGTGGCACATATATATCATGGAATACTATGCAGCCGTAAAAAAGGGTAAGTTCATGTTCTTTGCAGGGACATGGATGAATCTGGAAACCATCATTCTCAACAAACTAACACAGGAACAGAAAACCAAACGCCCCATGTTCTCACTCGTAAGTGGGAGTTGAACAGTGAGAACACATGGACACAGGGAGGGGAACATCACACACCAGCGCCTGTCTGGGGGGTCGGGGCTAGCATTAGGAGAAATACTCAATGTAGAACTTAAAGTATAATAAAAAACAGAAAATGAAATTTTGTGTTAAAATCATCAAATAAAAGGCAAAACATAGAAGCTATTAAAAAATTTAGTCTTGCTGTTTACATATCCTTATTCCTCCTTCATTTCCTGGTTCATCTTTGTTCTTACTCTTGGGAAACAGTTTCCTTCAGAAAAGGGCAGCACAGTTCATTACGTTTTTCTGAATGTCCGAGTTGTCTCAGCTTTTCCCTGTTCTCAATGGAAAAAGCTAGGATCTGGGTCTTTACTTCTCTAGGGAATCAGAAGATTTTTAATCTCATCATGGGTTTGTGTTTACTTGACCCTGTGTATTATGTTATACTGGGTTATAGTTATAGCGGTTTAATAATTTGTCGTCTTTCTTTTCCCCGTGTAGATGGTTCCCACAGAACTAGTAGAAAAGGAATTTTGGCGGCTGGTAAGCAGCATTGAAGAAGATGTTATCGTGGAATATGGGGCAGATATCTCCTCAAAAGACTTTGGAAGTGGATTTCCGGTGAAGGACGGGCGGAGAAAGATGCTGCCAGAAGAAGAGGTGCAGATTTATTCAAACTTTTGCTCACCTCCAGGCTGATTTAGCTTTTGCTGATTTAGCTTTTGCTAAGAAAACTACATTTCTTTATCTTAAGGGATCACATTAACTTAAAATATTAAATATGTAGGATTATACTGAAGTATAAATAATCTTCAGTTTTGAAAACAATGAATTCAGAATACTTTCAAAAATTATTTAACTCTGCATTTTTGTTGTTGTTGAGAAGGAATCTCGCCTCTGTCGCCCAGGCTGAAGCACGAGCTTAGCTCACTGCAACCTCCACCTCCTGGGTTCAAGCAGTTCTCTTGCCTCCGCCTTCCGAGTAGCTGGTATTACAGGTACCTGCTATTATGCCCGGCTGATTTTTGTATTTTTGTGGAGACAGGGTTTCACCGTGTTGGCCAGGATAGTCTTGAACTCCTGACGTCAGGTGATCTGCCCGCCTCGGCCTCCCAAAGTGCTGGGATTACAGGCGTGAGCCACCGTGCCTGGCTATTAACTCAGCATTTTTTTTTTTTTTTTAAGAGGAGTTTTGCTCCTGTTGCCCTGGCTAGAGTGCAGTGGCGCGATCTTGTCTCACCGCAACCTCTGCCTCCTGGGTCAAGCAATTCTCCTGCCTCAGCCTCCCCAGGAGTTTTGCTCCTGTTGCCCTGGCTAGAGTGCAGTGGCGCGATCTTGTCTCACCGCAACCTCTGCCTCCTGGTTCAAGCAGTTCTCCTGCCTCAGCCTCCCCAGTAGCTAGGATTACAGGCATGCACCACCACGCCTGGCTAATTTTGTGTTTTTAGTGGGGTTTCTCCATGTTGGTCAGGCTGGTCTTGAACTCCCGACCTCAGGTGATCCACCTGTCTTGGCCTCCCAAAGTGCTGGGGTTACAGGCGTGAGTCTCTGCGCCCGGCCAGCTCTGCGTTTTAAAACTAATTTAGGCTGAGTGGAATGACTCATGCCTGTAATCCCAGAACTTTGAGAGGCCAAGGTGGAAAGGTCACCCGAAGCCAGGAGTGACAGAAGAAAATCCTATCTCTTAAAGAAAAGGAGAAAAAAGCTAATTAGTTTAAAATTTTAACTCCAGTTTAATATTTTTGCCTAGTTCTTTGTGTTGTAAAATCCAAGGTAGGCATGGTGGCTCACGCCTGTAATCCCACACTCTGTGAGGCCAAGGTGGGTGGATCACGAGGTCAGGAGTTCAAGACCAGACTGGCCAAGATGGTGAAACCCCGTCTCTACTGAAAACACAAAAATTAGCCATGCATGGTGGCAGGTGACTGTACTCCCTGGGAGGCTGAGGCGGGAAAACTGCTTGAACCCAGGAGGTGGAGGTTGCAGTGAGCTGAGATTGTGCCACTACATTCCAGCCTTGGCAACAATGAGACTCTGTCTCAAAATATAAAAAAAAGAAAGTTTAGAAATATTTGATTCTATGTTTATCATATTGTTTCATTTTTCAAAACATATGTTTCCCTTTTGAATATAGGATAAATCTAAGCTTCTCAGTCCAAAACTTAAAATTAAAGATCTAATCTTTTTTTCTAGTGTTATTTCCTGTATTTTTGAGTATGACTATTCCATTCTGCCGCTTCACCAGCTAGACTAGTATATACTCTGTAATTTACCTTTTACATTCTTGTAGCTCTTCCTCCTAGAATGTTTATTCAAATCTTATCTGTCCTTCAAAGCTCAACACAATTTCTTCCTTGCTGTGAAGTTTTCCTAACAATCTTTGTTGTCCTTTCTCGTACTGCTATAAATAAATACTTGAGACTGGGTAATTTATCAAGAAAAGAGGCTGTACAGATTCCACAGGCTGTACAGGTAGCATGGCTGAGGAGGCTTTGGGAAACTTTCAATTATGGCAGAAGGTGAAGGCTAAGCAGGCACGTCTTACGTTGCCAGAGCAGGAGGAAGAGAGAGAAGCGGGAGTTGCTCCACACTTTTTTTTTTTTTTTTTTTTTTGAGACGGAGTCTCGCGCTGTCGCCCAGGCTGGAGTGCAGTGGCCAGGTCTCAGCTCACTGCAAGCTCCGCCTCCCGGGTTCACACCATTCTCCTGCCTCAGCCTCCCGAGTAGCTGGGACTACAGGCGCCCCCCACCTCGCCCGGCTATTTTTTTGTGTTTTTTAGTAGAGACGAGGTTTCACCATGTTAGCCAGGATGGTCTGGATCTCCTGACCTCGTGATCCGCCCGTCTCGGCCTCCCAAAGTGCTGGGATTACAGGCTTGAGCCACCGCGCCCGGCCGTAACTTTTTTTTTTTTGAGATGGAGTCTCGCTCTGTTTCCCAGGCTGGATTGCAGTGAGGCAATCTTGACTAACTGCATGCTCCACCTCCTGGGTTCAGGCACTTCTGCCTCAGCCTCCTGAGTAGCTGGGGCCACAGGCGTGTACCATCATACTCGGCTGGTTTTTGTATTTTTACTAGTGATGGGATTTCACAGTGTTGGCCAGTCTGGTTTCGAACTCCTGACCTCAAGTGATCCACCAGCCTCGGCCTCCCAGTGTTTGTTCTGTTTGTAGACCTGGTCTCTTCAATGAAATTCACTGTTGTTCAGCCAACCAACTGACCAATCAAAAAACATTGAGCAATAACCTGTTGAGATTCTTTTATTTCGTTTTTTGTTAGCCTGTTGAACTTTAGGGATGGATCTCTTTGCCATTTCTTATTGGAATTCTTAGTTAAACCTATGTTGGACTTTGTTATTCTATCGTCTGTGACTTTTTTTTTCTTTTCTTTTTTTTTTTTTTTAGTGAGACAGCATCTCGCTCTGTCTTTCAGGCTGGAGTGCAGTGGCATGATCTTGGCTCACAGCTTCAGTCTCCTGGGCTCAGGGGATCCTCCCACCTCAGCCTCCCTAGTAGCTGGAACACCACCACGCCTGGCTAATTTTTGTATGTTTTGTGGAGATGGGGTCTCGCCATGTTGACCAGGCTGGTCTCAAATTCCTGGGTTGAAGTCATCTGCCTGCCTGGACCTCCCAAAGTGCTGAGATTACAGGCATGAGCCACCGTGCCTGGCTTCTCTCTGACTCTTTTTTTTTTTTTTTTTTTTGAGACAGAGTTTCGCTCTTGTTGCTCAGGCTGGAGTGCAATGGGGCGATCTCGGCAATCTCCGCCTCCTGGTTTCAAGTGATACTCCCGTCTCAGCCTCCCCAGTAGCTGGGATTATAGGTGCCTGCCACCATGCCCAGCTAATTTTTTGTATTTTTAGTAGAGACAAAGTTTCACTGTGTTGGCCAGACTGGTCTCAAACTCCTGACCTCAGGTGATCTACCTGCCTCACCGTCCCAGAGTGCTGGGATTACAGGTGTGAGCCACTGCACCCAGCCCGCCTCTCTGTGACTCTTAATTACAGTTTGAAAGTTTGTATATTTCTGTGCTGCATTATAGATAATTTCCTCAAACCTGTCTTCTAGTTCACAAATTCTCTTTAGCTTTGTCATTGGCTCTTTAACTTCTTACCTTGAGGGTTTTTTATTTTTAGCTTGTTTTATAGAAACTTCTAAACAGTAAGCACAATAATGACCCTACCCCCACCCCTGCGAGTTCCTGACGTTCACATTCAGTTATCAACTTTCTAATAGCAGATTCTCATATCTGCTTCTGCATTCAAACTGTTATGATAGCACATGTCATCTTTCCCCTGGAAAACTCACACTATACTCCTGCAAGAATGTAAGTGGAAAAGGCAAATGATGTCTTAGAATTACTATGAAAATAGTTTGACTTAGTGGATCCTCTGGATCCCATTTTGAGAACTGCTCTCCGTAAAGATGATAAGCACTTTTTTAAGTCACAGCCTCATACGGCTTCAGGGATGGATGTTGGAAAGTCATTCTCCAGTGCCAGTCTCCAATTAGAAGCCCCTGTGAAAACCCTTGCCACAGCTTCCTTTTTTATTCTGGCTGGCTTCCGCTCTGTTTCCAGAAACTGGGAATTCCCTTTTCTTTTGGGTTCAGCTGTGAAGTTTTTCTGGTGGTTGTTATCATTTGTCCAGTATTTCTAGGTGTGTTTGTATAATGGTTAGGAGTGATGGCAGTGACTTTCTGCATTGTGTCAGTCTTCATTGTTGCCACAAGTTCAGGATTATGTGTATTATTACATTTTGTCTTTACAGTATCTAGCACCATTCCATCAATATAGTAATAAGATTTTAGGATATTATGCTACTGGGTATAAAATAGAAATATTGATGTTGTATTAAGGTGGGACCCATTTTCCTGACCGACTGGAGAATAAAGAATTGCTCAGGTGCTTTGGAGTAACCAGAGGCATCTGAGATAAAGGGAATCTAAGTAGAACCTAGACAGAAGGTAGGATTAAATATTGAGTTATATGAGTTACATGGTAAACCAGAGGCATCTGAGATAAAGGGAATCTAAGTAGAACCTAGACAGAAGGTAGGATTAAATATTGAGTTACATGAGTTACATGGTAAACCAGAGGTATCTGAGATAAAGGTATCTAAATAGAACCTAGACAGAAGGTAGGATTAAATATTGAGTTATATGAGTTACATGTAGTGGATAGCAAAGATCACAGACTGTATGCACTAGAGTATAAATATTATAAAATTTTTTACTTTTCTGGAAAGATTCCCTTGACATTTCTATTGAGCACTTTTCATTTCTGATTTTTCATTTACAGTTTTTTTTTTTTTTTCTCTCTTACAGGAATATGCACTTTCTGGTTGGAATTTGAATAACATGCCTGTCCTGGAACAGTCTGTTCTTGCGCATATTAATGTGGACATCTCTGGCATGAAAGTGCCATGGCTTTATGTGGGAATGTGTTTCTCTTCTTTTTGCTGGCACATTGAAGATCACTGGAGTTATTCCATCAACTACTTGCACTGGTATGTACAGTCTAAAATACAGCATGCGCGGACTGGTATGTGCAGTCTAAAATATAGCATGCGTGGACTCTGCTGAAGTCTAGTGGATTAATGATGCCAAGTTTTTCATCTTTAAGGTTTACAGACAGAGTCTGTTTAAGGTTTCCATAATTTCTAGCCTTGGCCTGTTTCTTTGGGTAGTAAAACTGAACTCAGTGAAGCTGTTTAGAGGCATTCTGGAGAGCACTGATTGTTCTGATCATTGTGGGGATAGTTGGAATGTCCGTTATTCACATGGACCTGTGAATCAAGGTCATGTATCCATCCTTTGGGACAGTGCTTACTTTTCATATAGCGTCTTTCCTGTTTGAAGGTGTTTTCACTCATCTGCCTTCCGGAGTTCATGTCCTGAGTTGCTTTTCTAATTGTAGTGATAAGTTTGTATCTGCCTATATATACTACTATTTACTTACCTCCTGTTGTGAACAACAACACAGGTTTATGAGATGGTTGCTAGCATTCAGGGCATATAATCTGACCATGGAATAAGACAAGTTAATTATAATTTGGTGGCCTGGAATCAGATGCCCCAGCCTCATTGGTACCATGTTCTGCCTAAACAGTTATTTCTTTTGCTAGGGGGGAGCCAAAGACATGGTATGGTGTGCCATCTCATGCTGCAGAACAGCTGGAGGAGGTGATGAGAGAGCTGGCCCCTGAGTTATTTGAATCCCAGCCTGATCTTCTGCATCAGTTAGTCACCATCATGAACCCCAATGTGCTGATGGAGCATGGTGTGCCTGTGAGTCTTTTGCGGTCTTCCTTCAGTTTCTTGTTTGTTTGTTTTTTTCATTTTTGAAACAGGGTCTTGCTCTGTGGCCCAGGCTGGAGTGCAGTGGCACAATGATTGCTCATTGCAGCCTCGACCTGCTCAGCTCAAGCAGTTCTCCTGCCTCAGCCTGGTGAGTGGCTGGGACTGTAAGAGCGCACCACCACCCCCGGCTAATTTGTTGTATGTTTTTAGAGACGAAACCTTGTTGTGTTGCCCACGCTGTTCTCGAACTCCTGGGCTCAAGCAGCCCTCCCACCTCGACCCCCCAAAGTGTTGGGATTACAGGTGCGAGCCACTGCACCCAGCCAGTAGTTTTAATTTAAAGTTATTTTAGCTTTTGATTAGATAGAATAATGACATGTGCTTTGTTTTATAACTAGAAATGAGTCATAACATCTTTTAGCCAAATTAGAATTTATACTCTGCAGGGAACAACTTTTATCTGATTAAGAAGAGGAGTATTAAAGTATGAATCATACTTTATGTATAGCTACCTATTCACATAACTTTCTTTTTTCAGTAAATATTACATCCTACTTTGAACAAAAATCTCATATTCTTTGTTATCCCTGTTTAACCAAAGCAGAGGTATTTTAAGTGGTGGCTCTAATAACTAATAAGCATGCTTATCCTAATAACTAATAACTAATAAGTATGCTTATCCTTATTTTCTCAGATTTCTTAGCTTTTAATACATGAGATAATGAAATAAAAATATACTGCAAATGCCTTTTTCACTTTTGAACCTAAGTTTGAAGATGTTTCTCAAATTCAAGCTAATGCCTGATAAAGTATAAATTTAACAGGTTTACTATAGATAATCAAATATTCATCATAACTTTAAAGAGAAAGTAGATTGAGTAACATTTATAAAGTTACTTTGTTTTTAAGTAATAAATTTATACCAGAATCTGAGACTTTTCAGGAGACATACAGTATTATTGTAAAACAAAGTGAGATTTCAAGAAAACTGATTTTGGGGACATCTCATTGGGGATGTCTCATGTGCTATGTGAGTTCAGTTAGTTCCAAAAAACTATCCAAAAGTAGCAGGAAATTCTATTCTTTGCCACTATTTATGATACAAGAATAAAACAAATTCTTTTAATTGTAAAAATTGTATCAGTTTAAGAAACTCAGCTCATTGAGAGTAATTTTTTTTTTTTGAGAATTTCTTTTGGCTGCTAATTCTTGTCATGAATTATAATCTATTATCAGTGACTATTTTAAGAAGGTAGAATTCTGGCTATTTCTGATATCATTTTCCGATATGTTTAACTTAATGCTTTATTGTTTTCAGTTTTAGAAAATGCATCTGAAATTATCTGACTAATAAAATCTGTCTTCCTCTTTTTGTTGTTTTTATTTTTTATTTTTGTATCCCTGTTCCCAATTTGCATTTAGGTGTACAGGACCAATCAGTGTGCTGGCGAGTTTGTTGTGACCTTTCCTCGTGCCTATCACTCTGGATTTAACCAGGGCTACAACTTTGCTGAAGCTGTGAACTTCTGTACTGCTGACTGGGTCTGTTCTATAGCAAGTGGCTGTTGTACGTCTACTAACCCCCTATAAATATAAAGCAGCTCAGTTGCCATGTTTGCTTAGCTGGGCTGAGGGTAGGGTTCATCAGTATTTTAGTGGAGACTGGAGTGGCTATTATAGTTTAGAAAGCTAAGTAGATTTCCATCACATTTTTTATTTTGAAGATTTTATAGTTCTTACCCATTTATTATTTTCCTCATTCTGTTTGAACTTGCTTCCCTCATTTCCATTCTTTTCCTTCCCTTTCCCCTTCCGCCATTTCCTTCTTTCCTTCCTTTCCTTCTCTCCTTTGCTTTCCTTTATTTGGACTCCCTCCCTTCTGGTCAGGTGCTCAGAAGAGAGAGACTGTTTGAACTTATAAATAGTCGATTCTTTCTGAATCCTTCTTTTCTAAGGGAAAATACAGATTGGTGCAAAAGTAATAGTGGCTTTTGCCATTGAAGATACAAGTTGGTGCACAAGTAATTGCAGTTTTAAAACCGCAACTACTTGTGTACCAACGTATGGTTTTCTTAGCTTTTGCTTTCTCTGAGCATTTTTGGGACTTATTAAGGTGATCAGGCTTATAGAGATAATTTCAGATATTCTACCATATTTTCAAATACGTAGCTTTGAAATTTTACAAATTCCTTCTTTTTTTTTTTTTTCTGGTAGACAATTAGGTGATTTTATTAGTCTTGCCATTTTATGTTTTATTCTGTTCCTTTTTTTAATTTTAAAAGAGTAACTATAATATTGAGATCTCTGCACTATACTTTTATGTAAATGATAACGCTAGGTAATTGCTGTTTTGCTTTTGTATGAAGTAGATAATCAAAAAGTATTTAGTGACTGTTATGTTGCTTGGGAGAAGGCTATACAGTATATTTATGATACACACTGACTTTATTTTCTTGTATGGGTGCTGTTTTTGTTGCTTCTGTTAACATTTTGGGGGCAACCCTTTAATAATGGATCTTATGTTTTCTGCAGGCACCTTAATTTGTTAAATTCCATGATTAACCATATAGAGATTGTTTTTGTTTCCTTTGCTAATGAGTAAAATGATACAATGAATAGTCTTTCTTGATCCAATAGTTTTGAAATTTTTTCTTATTAGGCTTTGGAAACAGCATAATTTAGCAAGAACAAGACTAGGCTTAGGATTTTGCCTTGGGCTTGAGCTCTGTTTCTAAACATTCAACCAGCATTTATTGAGTGTTTATGATACATGGTAATTGGCTAGGTATAGAAAATGGGAGGATTTAGGAGCTGGAGATAGTTTCTGCTGTTCCCCTTGTCACTGTTATTGGCATTTGACCTTGGGCAGCTTTTAACATTTCACTGGGCCTAAGTTTTTTAGCTGGTATGTAAAGATGCTGGTAGATTCACTTAATAACCTCAGACAAGTTAGAGGATATACGTGGAAGCCCTTGACACTCTTTAGAAGAAGGGTGTGATACAAATTAAAGGTTGTAGCAATTTTAGCTCTGGAATAAATTAATGGGACTAATTTTTATAAGTTACAATGGGTAATCACTTCTATTTTATGTGGCTTCCTCACATATTTTAATAGTTAAGAACTGCAAATCCCACAGTATGATTTTTTCTTCTACTTGTTTTTGTATTGAGACTAGGTGAGAAACTTTTAAAGAGTACGTACTTAAGATATGAAAGAGTTGTGTGTTGTTAATAGACAAAATAATTGCTAATCATAGGTTCAAAACACACAAACACACACACACACACACACACACACACTTTCTCCTTGGGAAAGTTTTTTCTTTGAAGAGTGTGGAAACACTGCATAATTCAGAGATAGCCTCATATTTTCTTTGATTTCTTGGATTCCTTTCTGCCTTTCTCAAACTGTAGATGAATTCTAAAAGGGTCTTAAAGGTCAATTTCTTATTTTTTCTCTTTTATATTACGAATACAAACAAAACTCCTTTATCCAAGTTCTTCTGCCTGAGCATAGGAAAGAAGTTGAAGTTGGAGTGCGTATTTATGTGTAGGGCATAGCTGTTGTTATAATTTGGCTTGTAGCTTGACAATTACGGAGATTTTCAAGATTTATTTTAAAGGCTGTAGCTGTTCATTTATGAAAAGTGATGATTTAGTCATTTATTTCACTGTTAGGGAAATAAAGTATATAATTTTATAATTTCACTTTGAATTATCTTTCTGCCAGGCTTGTTTTTAAAATAATTTCTAGATGCTAAAATCTAAATCGTCCTTTGTTTTGGTTTTTGCAAAAAAACTAAATGTCAGCCAATGTGGATTGCTTAAGTATTACTTTTTCCCTCTTTCCTATTTTTTTCTTTTTTTTTCATCTAATAACATCTGTTCTTTTTGTTCTATGGAAATTTGAGTCCTGAATATTTCCACTTAACCCTTTTTGGCTTGAACTTATTTAATTATTTACTTTTACAGTATTTTTCTTGTAAGGGCAGACTCATGTTAAATTGGTCTAAAAGAGTTTGCTGCCTCAGTTATATACCAAAGAACTCCTTGATATACAATAAATAGAAAATTAGCAGTTTAGGCCAGAAATTTAGCATTTCAGATTATGGGAATTTTCTGTGGGAAAGCCTTTGAAATTCTGGCTGGGTCATACAGGGTTAATATTTACAGTTAATGTAATATTGCCTCTTTATATTTAAATGGATTTGGTATTCTGTCTTCTTTCTAATAAAAGGGAGGATCTGGAGGGTAAGTAGTGGTTCTGTTCTGGGGTATGTTATAAGCGAGTTATTTAATTTGGAAATCTCCTTTTCAGTTGCCCATTGGACGTCAGTGTGTGAATCATTACCGACGCCTAAGGCGCCATTGTGTCTTTTCACATGAGGAACTCATTTTCAAGATGGCAGCAGATCCAGAATGCTTAGATGTGGGGCTGGCTGCCATGGTCTGCAAAGAATTGACTCTCATGACTGAGGAAGAAACACGATTAAGAGAGTCTGTTGTACAGATGGTGAGTTTGCTGAGCACATTTTCTATGTTTGATACTGCTTATGGGATATGCTAAATAAACCTATAGATAGAATTTTCATCTCTGATTCCCTAGGAGTTAAACATAAAAATCACTGATTTGGAGAAGATTTTATGTTTTTATGACTGACATACTGGTTTCTCCAGATTAAAAACGTTTTAGGAATCTTATCATCTAGGTTTTTAAAACGAGTCCTATCAGAATTTCTTAGGCATATATTTACGTTTTAAATCTTCTACATACGGTGTTAATTGCTTAAAAATAAAATTTAAATCATTTTTTTTCTGAGCTTTGTGTTGAATAAGTTGTGTTTCTGGCAATTACAGACTGTCAGTTTGAATTAATCTTTTTCCCTCCCCTTTAAGTAATTTGATGAACAGGAAGGATGGAATAACCAAGGGTTGGGAGTTAAAATACTTAGGATAAGCTAAGCATCATCACATTGAACTGGCGAATATATGAGAAAATGTGTATCTTTAGCATCATCTTGGCCTGTTCTATCTAATATTTCCTGCATAGCTGGCTAGCTTCATTAGGTTTACACCATGCTTCCTCCTGTTTTTGTATCATGTCCCTCCTCCTTCTCTGCCTGATATTCTGTCTCTGTTTTTAAAATAACTTTGTTGAAGCATAATTGAGATGTAATAAACTACATGTGTTTAAAGTGTACAATTTGATAAGTTTTGACTATGTATATACCCATGAAACCGTTGCTACAATCAAGATAATGAATATATCTATCACCCCTACAAGTTTTTTCATGCCCTCATATGGTTCTTCCTTCTTGCTCTGTACCACCTTTTTGAAAGATGGATTCTCTCTCTGTTGCCCAGGCTGGAGTGCAGTGGCACAATCATAGCTCACTGCAGCCTCAAACTCCTGGGCTCAAACAATCTTCCCACCTCAGCCTCTGGAGTAGTTGAGACTGCAGGTGCGTGTTACCATGTCCGTCAAATTTTTTAAATTTTTTGTAGTGGTGGAGCCTTGCTTTGTTACCTAGGCTGGTCTCAAACTCCTGGCTTCAAGCAGTCCTCCTGCCTTGGCCTCCCGAAGTGTAGGGATTACAGGCATGAGCCACCACACCTGGCCATCCTGCACCATCACCTTCTCCTCTTGCCCCAGACCCCAGAAACCACTATTCTTTCTTTGCTTATTTTTTTGGAGAATTTTATTCAAATCAAACCATACAAGTTGTCCTTTTATGTCTGATTTCTTTCATTCAGCGTAATTACTTTGGGACTCATCCATGTTGTTGCATGTACCAATACTTTATTCCTTTTTATTGCACACTGGTTTTCCATTGAATAGGTGTACCGCAATTTGTTTATCCTTTCACTTGTGGGTGAACATTTGGATTGTTAACGTTTTTTGGCTGTTAGAAATTAAATTGCTCTGAACATTTGCGTACAGCCTTTTGATGGACATATGCTTTTGTTTATCTTGAGTAAATACTAGGCATGGAATGCTTGGATCATATAGTATGTGTATGTGTAATTTTTTTTTTTTTTTGAGATGGATTTCGCATCTTGTGCCCAGGCCTGAGTGGGCAGTGGCTTGATCACAGCTCACCACAACCTCCCTCCTGCGTCAAGTGATTCTTCCTGCCTCAGCCCCGGGTAGAAGGTACGCTGGGATTATAGGCGCCGCCCGACGCCCGCTAATTTTGGATTTTCTATAGAAAGGGGGGTTTCTATCCATGTTGGCCAGGCTGGTCTCCGAACGACCTCAGGTGATCCGCCTCGGCCTCGGCGGCCCTCGCAAAGTGCTGGGAAATTACCAGCGCGTGAGCCACCGCGACGCCCAGCGCCTGTATGCTTAATAATTTTCTTTTTTTTTTTTTTTTTTTGAGATGAAGTCTTGCTCCTGTTGCCCCAGGCTGGAGTGCACGTGGCCGGACCTCAACTCACTGGTGCAAGCTCCGCCTCCGGTTCACGTCCATTCTCCCTGCCTCAGCCTCCGAGTAGGCTGAATAACAGG